GGAACTCCAACGACAGTGCCGTGATGCTGTTGTGAGTCGCTTTCGAGCGGAGAGTTACACCCCAAGGCCACCTCGAATGTCATTCCTCTCACTCAAAAAGGCGAAGCTCATCCCACGGTTTCCACCCGAATTTCTCGTTTTCGACGCGGAAGAGATCTAGATCTAGTGGGTCTAGATTCCACTGAATCTATACCCACCTCTTACATCACGTTGGAACCTGAATCCTTCACGATGCCGGAACCACCAGCGACGATAACATTCGATGACATATCCGGTGCACTAATGACAGCTTCGAAGAAATCAGATTTTCCTCTCCCGACCCTCGTCATGGCCTTGATACGGTTTGAAGGAAAGAGAGAAACGCCATCTCTCCTCTCGATTTCATGTGCATCAAGTCATCCGGTGCACCTTCTGTCTCAAGCACGGAGAAGGCAGAAAATGAACAGAATTCGGCAGAATAACCGGAAGGTCGTCCGCGATCGGAGAATGTCGTGAGGAAATAGAAGCGAGATTTCAACACTTGGGACGCCCCCGTTCACTGTGAGAAATCTCTGAAAAGCAGCCCGTGAAGGATGGCGAAATTCGAGGTCCCTGACGAAGGCGAGACGGCTGCTGCGAATGCTCAATTAAGAATTCCGTCTCTCTTGAAATCCTCACCTTCAAGCACGACCGAGATCTTATCGTTCCATCAGAATCTGTTGGGAATCTTCTATTAAAAGCATCCAGCCATCGTCACCAAGTCCGACAGAAGATCCGTTGACCTCTTCTTCTCTGAATACGTGTGACCAAGGGAAAGAAATAGTATTAGAAAACAGGGCAAATATGTGGTCTAGAATTCTTTTCCTGATTGAACCTCTAACAGGACATCCGAGGGAACGATAGCCTTGGCATGAAGAAAGTCAAGGATACGTAAAGGATGTGCATGACTGAATCATAGAAGAGAACTCGTCGAGTATCGAGTGAAAGGACTTATTCGCGTGTTCGTGATTCTTCCACTTCTACCTTAATTAAAAAGTGACGTCCTTCGTGTCGGAAGAGGTAGTCCTATGCTATGGTGGGAAACTTCTTCAGTCCTCATTCCCCTGTCCCCGTTCCCTCATCATCGAACTCGACCGCAGGCAAGTTCTATTCATGGTGGAACCGTACACACTGCTCTAGAATGATTACATCGTGTGTGACCGAAGTGATTAGACGGTGGGGTTTCATCTGGCTCCGGCCGTTCCGGACCACAGATATCTGCAACCGATGGGCGTGGTCCCATTGTAATTCCATTGTTTTTTCATATTTATTATCCTTCACTCATCATCTCGAAGGAACGTTACCCTTTGAACTACAGTTGGGTTCGCTTTTTAGTGTGGATCTGTGCCACGGAGTGAGTTCTATTTTCCACCAGATATGCAGTGTCTCGTGGACTCTCGTTCCCGACGAGATTGAGTCCGATCTTCAGACGTTAAAGTTGTGAATCCCGTCGCGGCTTCGCTAGTGTTCCATGATTTCGTCTATCGTCACAATCATCATCTATATATGCTCGTGTTTTTCTTCGTTTCATGCAGCACCGGTAAGACCACATTCGGTTCTCGAGGCTTGCGAACAGAAGTGACCCGACGGCGCTCGAGAGGATTCAAAGGCGCGATATGGAAATGATAAGCAGTACGGGGACTTTCAAACGAGAGGCGTTTAGAAACGTCCCGGCTATACTCTCTCGAGATAAATTTAACGAGGGGGGTCCACATCCAAGCATGCACACATCATTAAGGGAATCGATTACATGAAGTGTGGTAGGTTTTCCCAACTCGTTGACGGTGGCAGGACGAGAGGGAACCAGTTGAAGTTGCGCAAACTCCGAACGCGTCTCGGGTTGCGGAATGACTCGTAGGGTAGTGAATGCGTTGATTGTGTCAAGTGATGTAGTTCCCACCCATTCCGTGACTCGCTTTATGAACGGGTTACATGCCGTAATGGACAAAACAAGAGGGGACGACGTAGCTATAAGTAGCTTGGCAGTAAGTGGATATGCTCCTACGCATGTGTCTATGTTTAAAAGAGTAGATCATCTTTCTCTATATGAACGCTGGACGTAATGATGGGCATGGGTGCCTCTTCACGTCTTCGTCCGATTCTTGAACCGTGATTCTCGAAAATTCAAAACAGTCTGGGAATTTTAGTCCCTTCTGAGAAGTTAGACGCCGCCTGTCTCTTTCTCCTACGTAAGACAAACGAAAATCCCAATACACTTTTAGCAAGCCCTGCATTTATACAGATAGATTCTTCGATCATTGACTTAAATAAGGCTTATGAAAACCATCCACAAGAAAAAGCCTGCTCAAAAGCAGGCTTTTTCTTGTGGATGGTTTTCATAAGCCTTATTGAATGAATGAATTTCAACGGAAGACAATTTCGATGTGGCTTAGATGATGAGTAGCCAGAACTCTCGGGCGTGGAACCCACTTCACTACTAGCACGAGCTCCTCCATTTCCATTACCTTCTTTCGATAATTGTTCACAGCCTTGCCTCAGCACTAAAAATTTAGATTAAACTTTCTACGATTTGTCTCACGAAAACAGCTCCAGTGGGAGTGAATAGAAACTTAAAGTTTAAAAGTAGGCCTAGTTGGTTATTATTTTTTGCCGAACCCAGTTTATCCATATTTAAAGGGCTAACGGGAAAGGGGTCTATCTGCAGAAAAGTTGAGTTGGCTTAATGCACATAAATTGTTTTTCCTTTCGCTGAAGATGGTAGTTTTAGGGATTTATGTCAGGGAAAGGCTGGTCTACTTACGCATACATTTTCTCACTTTTAATACGGTCACTGGAATATTCATTCCGTTTGGAGCTTGCCAAGAATTTATTGCAGATTGACCAATTTTATTTCCAACACTTCATTTTATAGTTTAATATCCATGGAAAGAACCTGATATAAATTCGGTTGCGACCCCAATGAGCGACTGTGGTCCGCATCTCGTGAGACACAAATATTTCTGTTATTTTCATGTATGGAGATAAGATTAGACTCTTGGGCCTCAATGGACAAGCCTCATAAAAGGAAGATAAAGGGGCCTTTAAGGTATATAACACTATCTCCCATAAGAAACGGTTTTTTTTTTTACCCTTACAGTGCCAGAGTCGCTTACAGCGACGCTACAAATATCGCTTCAAAATGCCAGAGTCGAAGAGCTGGCACTAAAATGTCCAAAGTTTGAGAAGGAACACGATCGAACGCTCGGACTAGAAACATTTCTTAACCCTTTAATCGTCAGCTCTTCGACAATGGCCTTTTTCAATGAAATTCGTAGCGTTGATGTAATCGGCTCTGGCACTTTAAGGGTTAAAGGACCGCTTACTAAAGGAAGTTTGAGCATTCAGGCCTTGGAGTTAGGCCTCAAGCTAGAGTAAGGACAAGAGAAAGGGGGGAGGGAGGGGGGGATAAGGGGCGTGACCACGACATACAGGAACTGTGCGTAACCTCATTCCTTTCACTTTTCTCCTCGGCTTGGAATCTTGAGATTGGGCAGCCCCGCGTCTCAACGTGGCAACCTCCATAGGGCACGGTCTCGTGTTAGCTGACAGCTGTAGTGTAGACCAACGTGGAATTCAGAGTCGCAGCACCATAATTTATCTTGAATCTATCCCTAACCTCTTCACGTCTGGGCCCATTTTTGCTTCCACCCCCTCCATTCTTCATGTCCGCTGAAAAGCTGCCGTGTTTTTCTCTTGTTGGAGAATTTTTTTTACTGAACTCGGACACTCGTGCATGAAATCATGCATGAATGTCGAAGTCAATTGAAAGAACGTCTGACTTGAGCGAAAAACATTTTATCTGGTCTATTTCTATGCTCTGCAGCCCAGACTTCGATGTCATTGAATGGACTTAGGCTCTTTGGGGCCTAAGTCTATTTTCTTTCTTCGTCCATTGCAGGTTGCATCTAGGTTCGATCTCCACCATATACATAATAGTGACTTGCAAACGAATTCGTACCACCTCTAACACAAACTTTATTATAAGCCTAAACTCTGTTCTTTCCTGAGAGGTATCTCCACTTAGGCTTATGTTATCTGCCTCTTTACATTTGTAGGCCTAGACAGTTTTCCTGACAGGTGGTGGACTGATTGTATCATAACTCTGAATTAAGATCTCATCCCAATGTAGAAACACTGAAGAGGAACCTTTTTTTATGGAGCTCCTAGCTATATCCAGGAGCACTATGAATCAAATTATTTTCTGGGCAGCAAAACTACTAATTTCTTCGTGTCCCAAATATTTTCCCTTCCTCTGAAAGCAAGAGTATACTGTAGAGTGACCAGATTTTTTCAAGAAAAACCAGTACATTTTTAAGATAATGTTGGAATGTTAGTCCCTGCATTGGAAAAAAACTGGGATATAGCTTGAAAAACCTGAACTGTCCCAGAAAAACTAGGATTACAAGGACTGTCCTGGTAAAACAAGGGGGTTTGATCACCCTAGTATGCTGTTTTCAGATTGAATTCACAAACCCCTCCCATCCCTCCACATGAGTGCTTCCAATGATTCCTGGTAGTAACATCTATATAGGTGGTTTTTAGATCATCTGATGAAACAGATATTCTTGTAATAGCATTTTTTCTCTTCTCCACTGCAGACAAGGAGGAATTCAATTTAATCTTAGTGAAGGCATTCTGATGGTTGGGTGTTATATAGAAAAGCACCTTATGGGAGCAGAGCCATAAAAAGTGAGGCATGGGGAATTCATCCTGGATATATGAGGGGGATGGGCCACTCTGGATATACTTGCATCCTGGGTTGCCCTAGATCTGACCTATAGGTCTAGACATCCAGTCTCATGCTGACTTCATGCTATATGGACCAGGATAATCTAGACTTAGTACACTGTTCCTTTAAGTAACATTGAGGTATGCTACAGGAAGTGCCAGGTCCTCTCAATGATGATAAGGACTCCTTCAAGAAGGCAAAGGAGGCGACTTTTGATGTGTTTTGTTTTTTGTTTTTTTTTTTTTTTTTCCAGCAGGAGGACCTATTTTAAGTCAAAGCCCAGAAGGTTCTCACTGGTGGTTAAACTTAGAGTGAAAATGTGTCCATTTTTTCCATTCCACTATATCATTTTGTATGTATGCCTTCTGGGGCCTCTATGGCTGTTAAGTTCCCATGTGAGTGCAAAAGGCCCAGTTGGAGTGTCATCTCGGTCGAAGAACCTCCATCAGCAGTGGAATATAACTTTCTTTCCGAGTGAAGTGGAACGTTTGGAGGAGGATCAGGAGAGGAATGTCAGCATGTACACCTTGGATTTGGATTGGTGGGATAAAAACAAGCCTTTGTCAGTGATGGTTGAGACTGATGATTTCAGCATTGCAGAAGTCTCGGGGAAGACTGAATTCCCACTTAATACCACTCAGGAATTCAATTTCACATTCTCTCTTAAAGGCAAGACAATGCATGAATCTTTCTTACATATGAACAAAGCCAAAAACCAAGTGATTCAATCTTAGAGATTAAATAATTGGATGTTACAGGAAAGTTCCTGGGCTTCACATTTGTACGTGTCAAGGCTCAGCAGGGAGGGAAAACGGTGCAAGAGAACAAGGAACTGAGAGTGGAAGTCATTCGACGGGCCAGTGTGCTGGACACAATTTTCACCTATTCCATCATAATTATTGTATCCATTGCTTATATCAATATGGGGTCCACTCTTGATCTGAAGATCATTTGGAACACGATCAGGAGACCCTGGGGACCTGTTGTTGGGATCTGTTCTCAATACCTCTTCATGCCTCTTGTGAGTTGTAGATTTACTGTTGATGCTTCTGCTGCTGTAGGTTGGTAGAAAGGGCCCTCATTCTGGTACCTTTATTTCCAGGTGGCATTTGGGTTGAGTCAGGGCTTGTTATCAGAGCCTTCACTCCAGCTGAGCCTGTTTGTGACAGGCTGTAGCCCAGGGGGAGGGGCCTCCAATATATGGACTGTTCTCCTTAATGGGAACATGAACCTCAGCATCACCATGACATTCATCTCAACTGTTGTTGCCTTCTGTGCGTTCTAGCCTCCCCCTCAAACCACTCTTGCTAGAGCTCATATTGCACATCTCAGCTAGATTAAAATTACCTGTCATATTTGTCTCTTTGCTCTCTAGTGGCAATGCCAGCATGGCTCTTCTCATTGGGTCGAGTGATATTTGAAGAGGGACAACTTGTGATCCCATATCGTAACATTGGGACCCTTGCCATTGGATTGGTCATTCCAGTTGCAATCGGAATCATGATCAGGCGCTTCTGGCCTCGTGCTGCTGAATGGCTCCTCAAGATCCTTAGACCTTTCTCTATCTTGATCATCATTTATATCCTCACATTTGGGATCTATGCCAACTACTATGTATTCCTCCTTCTCTCATGGAGAGTGAGTGGTGCACAATTCTCAGCTCCAACTCTCCTTTCAAACTTCTCTTCAAATTCATCCTTCAATGTTTTTTTCACAGATCGTTGTGTCTTGCATTGTGTTGATCTGGTCTGGCTTTGCATTCGGAGCCCTGGTATCATACTTGTGCAAGTTCCCTGTTGGTGACATCATTGCTATTGCTGTGGAAACTGGGATCCAAAACACAGGAGTTGCCATAGTCCTACTTCGTTTTTCCCTTCCACAACCAGAAGCTGATCTCACTCTTGGTCTGTCTTTGTCCTCTGTACCTATATTCACTGCTCATTTTTATGAAACATAATCATAATCAGAAGGTTCTTGGTGTTTCAGTGATTCCTGCCATGGCTGCCATGATGATGCCAATTCCATTGACAGGAGTGTATGTGGTGCAAAAGATCATGAGGAGGAAGGAAGGAAGCATGATAGTTTCAAGATGTGAGTCTCCTTCTGGGAAGGAGCTGGTCCAGCATGCAGCCAATGGGGAGTTCAAATCACCTGACCAAGTCCATGTCTAAGCATTTCCTCTTTCATTTTAGTATCAATTTATTTAGTTGTGAGTGTGTTCCTGCGTGTGTTGTTAGGTATTGGTTATGAGGCTTCCTTATTTTCCTTCCAAAGATCATGTCATCCTACGGATCATAAAATTGTCTTTCGTTACTCTGGAAGAGGTCACATGCCCTGGAGGGGTGAGTGACATTAATGTGAAGAAATTTGAAACCACATTGGCCAGGTCACACCTTTCCTATAATGTATAAGTTGAGGCAATGTTTGTGAAAGAAAAGCCAGGAAGAAATCTTACATGGAGTATTAGCCTTGGTCTCTCTCACGTTCTAGGCTAGCCTGTTGTTCCTCTTGTCTCTTTTCCCCAGTTTTCCACATTAACTGTAGCAGGTTTGATGTGGGGATACACTTTGCTGGAAATTGATATTAACCCTTTGAGAAGTATGCCTGTATGTCTACAGGCTGATGTTCTCCTGCCCTCCATATATTCACTATGGGGGATCTAGCAGGTGTTGAAAAAACCTACTCCTCAAAGGGTTAAATGTCAGGGGGATTATGCTGCTCTGCTTCAAACAATGAAGTTTGTATTCATAACAAATCTAAAAAGTCATTGGATCATAAGCCACATCAAAATCTCAGCTTGCTTCTCAATAGAGGTGGGGACTCATTACTTCAGGTGCATATGACTTCTGTGGGGCCATTCAAGGAATCCAGCTCAATATGCTTTTATACTTAAAATATACCCTATAAGACAAATCTCTTTACAAGTAACCAAAAGTCACTTGAATTCTTGAGAATAAGTGTCACTCTTCTAGTTAGGCCATCATAAATATTTTTTATATAACAAGTTTCTCCGTCCAATGTGAGGGATTAATTACTTTTCTTCCAGCTTGTAATATGTGACCGCACCACATGGGTGAACTGAAAAAAAAAAAGAGCAAGCCATTAGATGGTTTCTCGTTGTACCTCTATGGTGTAGATGTAAGTTACAAGCTTTGAGCAAACTGTTTGTTTAATGCATGTCAAAGACAATTACAATAGCTTTATTGGTCTGCAAATGCAACTGAGAAGTTGAGAAAAAGAAAGGCAGATGTGAAAGTTTTTCATATTTACTTACCCTTTTCCCCAAAGTGTACAGTAGTTTTGACAATAGTGATATTTTTCAAAGAAATCTCTGAGAATATGCTTGTGAACCACTCGGTCAGTTTCAAAGACTCTGAGCAGGCACTTGAGCCATTAACTGGCTGTAAAATAAGAATAAGAATGAATAGGCTTTCCCGGTGACTGAATTTAGATGCAAGGTCTTGTCTTCCATCTTGAACTTGTTATAAAAATTCAGTCATCTAGAATTGATAAGACTGTTACTTGGATTCTGTGAGACTCCTGATCCAGGTTGGTGGACTGTGGCTAGTGCAATATCATGCAAATGATCCCAGTGGTTCACATATTCTGCACAACAGTATTGTATCATCTGTGTTATGGAGAGCAAGTGTGGCACATGGAAGGTGGCTTTTTTTTGCTTGAAATTTCTTTCCCAGTGGTTTTTGTTCTTCATATCTCTGTCCACTGTGAGAGTTCCTTCCAATGTTTGTAGGTTGTGGGAAGAAAAATCACCATGGATACATATGCTCATTGATTTTGTATTGTGCTTGTCGGTTTTGGGAAATTTTATCACCAAAAATGGATCTCTGAAGACATGTTCATCCTACTGGTAATCTTATTCAGCTGAAGAATTTTTTATTATAGCCAAATTGTTTTTTAGAATGCAATTCTGTGGATTCAAGTCTGGAGGCCAAAGACAGCTCTTCATGCAAAGGTTGTGCACATTGGAGATGACATGCTTTGGTATCTCAACAACCATGTCTGCAGGTGGCATTGTAAGGTATAAGCTGGCTGCTTCTGATGTGTCACTGCAGAATCCATGCAACCTTCTATAGACAGATTGTTCATAGGCAAGGCTAATTTAAACATGGCGATCTTGCAGCATTTACTTTTTCAAAGGTTGCTGCATCTTAATAGAGAACTCTCCTTGGAGGAAACAGGAAATTCTCCTTAGGACTAGTAGTTTGGGTATGCAAAAGACACCCATGGGCTTGTGCACCTAAAGCTTCCAATTCATGACTAGCTTCTACTTCTGGAAAAGACTATGAGGTATTCTAAAATTTAGATATATATATTGATTCTCATGAGGAATCCAAAGTTGATGCCTCCTTACTTCTGGAAATCCATCCAAGTGTTCATGTGTAATAATGCTAATGCAGGCTTATACTTGATAGGAAGTCTTGCATTTACATTATTGATCCATTGTATGGCAACTTAAGGGTCTTGCTTGTCACTCGAAGTCCCTGTGGAATGCCTTTCACTTTACATTAAGAGTTTTCTCTGAAAGCCTCACTGGAATGTCAAAATGTTGGCTATTGCTGAAATAATGCATTTATGTGAACTTGTCATGTTGAATGTGAACTTCACCTGGAGAATGTACTGTCAATTTTGTCATACTTTCAATTCCTTTCTGGCATTTCTGCTTTTGAGTACTGGTACTTTTTTTTGTTGAGCAAAAATACAAAGCTTGAAGTCCACCCAATATGACACTATACCAAAGCTCACACCTGCTTAGAAAAGACAAAGCCACCTCTTTGCTGCTGTTTGTCTCTCTTACCTCAGGTGTGGTGTCTTCTTGAAAATCAATAAATAAATATTTTCTACACAACAAAGGCATATCTTTAATAAACTCTTCAATGATTACCAACATCTGGTTGTTTGAATCTACCAGAATGATGAAATTGTGTTCACAGAATGGATGTAGCAGAGAAAACGCTCAGTTGGTTTCATCATTTCCTCATATGAAATTGTAGTAATAGTAGTCATTTGTGCAATCTGCCAGCCTTCCCCAGGGGGATTGTTAATGTAGTTGGGCAATCTCTGAAAATATTTCTAGGATGTCATCAATATTGAATTCAAGTGAGATCTGTGCACCAGGGTAACATCGCTGGATGAGCTCATCCATCCCTTTGTACTGCTTAATGAATTCTTCCTGCATTGCTCTCCACACCACCTGTAACAGAACAGGAATGAGATCAAGTGTGTACAAAAGTAGCTGAAAAATATCTCCAGCCACAAAGGTGAAAGACTCGTGCTTTGAGCTGGGTTCAAAGGATTGTAATAAAAGATACCAAATAGTGAACAACATGTACCTGATTGATTATAATTAAATTTATTCAATTCCATATAAAGCTTCCATTAAAACATTGACTGCCAAGGGGTTTGGAACCACAGTTCTACTTATGGTGAATGTGACACACTGGCATGTCATACAGCAGTCAATGCATTAAAATTCATTTACTCAATATTTCATTTTCATTTCCATGCATTCTTGATCCAAGTTATGCAAAATGAGAGTTAACTCAATCTGAAACATGTTGCCCATCATCTTCAAACCTGGAGCAGACTTTCATCTTCAGAGAGATGCCTTTCTACTTTTTGGTAAAGATGCTGAAGTCCTTTTTGGACTTCTTTTTTGGGATATTCCTTAATAAGACGTCGAAGCTCTTGCTTGGAGAAGGCCAGCTGGTAGCCAATCTCAGATTCCTTCACTCCTTCAGCCACCTTAGTCTGCACTCCCTCGAAGAACACCTGAACATGGATTGTGACTCATTTGATACATGAATAAAAAAGTCATCATTATCTAATGCACACACAAGCTTACATGAAGCTTTTCAAGGGGATGGCCAAAATAAGTGTTGACATAATCATCCAGAGCAGCCTTATAGTGACTTTTTGTCTCCTTCCGCTCCTTCTCCAGAGCTGTAATCTTCAGCTCAGATAGCACAGAGAACAGGTGATGATAATTCTCTGAAAATCATCAGGGATTCACAACCTTCAGACACAAGACGAGACGGCAACTGGAGTTTGGAAATGTAGCACACAGTACCCATTCGGATGACCTGGGAAGGAGTCTTCCCATGTTCCTTTGCAATCCGTTCCACTGTCTCGAAGATCACGGCACAGATCCTAGAGTACCACTTTTCCAAGTCTGTTCTTCTGTGGCTACCTTCAAAGATTCTTTCAGCTGCCTTGGCAAAGTCCTGCAAATGTCCAATGGTAAGCACTCTGAACTTTATATCCAAAATATAAATTGAATGCAAGGAAGTTATATAATTTATTTTGACTGCAATCAGATTCTAGTGAGACCTCAAAGTTGAGGATGAAGGGAAGGATGCCAGCTTTGCGAGAACGATTTGACTTGTAATCATGGAGAGAAGTGATGTGAAGGCTCATCATCTTGTCAAAGGACCTCTTGGCCTGAATGAGTGCTGATCCAAATGTAACAGCCAAGAAGGATCCTGTGTCTTCGGCCCGCAGGACATGCTTGCTCAATCTCACCAGCAGAATCATGCAGTAACTACAAAAGGGTAAGTAAAATTAATAGGGAATGAATAAAAAAAAAAGAGGAGAGGCTATGGGGGGTCTGAAGAAAATGAGGTTATTCCATACTGGGAATCCACTTTCTCATAGTGAGACATGAAGGCTAGAAACTCAGGCTCCAAGTTAACAAAAAGGGCACTCATCATCTTCCTCATTTCTAGGCTGAGCTCCTTTTGCTTCTTGGACCTCTCCTGCATGAAAAGCATTAATGCATGACTAATCTTCAGCATCCAATGTTATTCATAAGCATCAATAAAAACCCAGATGTAAATCTGAGACAGGGGACTAGCCCAAAATTGAACAGCTGCTTCCTACCTCCATGTGAAAGAAACGGAGGCAGAAATCTTGCTCAGCAAGGCAAACAGGTTCTAGTTGGCCCAGCAACCGCTCCACCAGGCCTTCAAACACTCGCCTCTGGGCATCCCATGTACTTGTCTGGAATTACATTTTATTCATGACCTGTATAATTCAATCTTAATTCCTTATTGGTAGTGAGAGGTAAGTAATAATTTATGATTTTCATTATTCATATAGGACCATGAATATGACTACTTGCATAACTACCTGATCTGAATTCTGCATGAGTAGAATCTTATATACAACTAGTGAAGAATTTTAATATTGTACAACCAGTTTCAGATACCTGAATTAACCAGAATACACCTTAGGAAAAGATCAAGGAGCTTTCCTAGTTGATTTACTATCCAAAAAATTTTTGTAATAACTCATGAATGCATGTATCAGAACAGAGAGTATGTACCTGAATAAAATTTAAAAAACAAAGTTGCTCTCTTGCCATCTCTAACGTGAAAGATGCCCTTGGAATGCAAGTTTTCTTTCTTTCAAGTGTACATAAACCCTTCATGGGATCATCCAATGAGTAACAGTTGTGTAGATGTAAAGGTGTGTTAGTACTGGCTTTTTAAAATGTGAAAACTCACCCTTGAGGAAAAGATTTCCACTGTCAAGACAGCACAAGAAAGCCCTTTTGATTTTGTGATCATACTGTCTAACTGACTGAACTCAGGCCTGATTCTCTTAAAACTGAAATTGCATCAAATTTAAAAGCTATGCCCCATTACTCTCTTCACAACAACATAGTGTCCTTCCAGCACACCAAATTCAAAAGATATCGAAATTCAAGGGAGCCATTCTTCTGAAATTGCCAGTAACACAAGTTACACCCAATTGATGCCAGCCTCTTCTTCATGCCTCTTCCTCCCCCAACACTGGTTAATCACCCAGGAAATAAGAAAATGCAATTCATATTGTCCTTTGTTCATGAAAACAGACTCCATCCAAGAACATGTATCCTCTGACAACATTTCTGGATCTGTCCCTGAATGTTCAATTACCGGTACTTTGATTTGAATAACAGTACCCATCAATGGTTAGAGGATAATGAAGATGTCAACACACTGCAGTTGCATGCAGAAACTGCTCTCTGTCAGCTCCAAGAAGAGGGGCTACATTGGAAGACTTGGGTGAAGAGGACAATGCCTTCAACCAACTGCCTTCATCTGACTTGTCCCCTTCTCCTAGTGAAACAGAAGAAAAGTTTAAGCATTCCTTCCATAATAGTGCTATCCCTGTAGTAAAGTTTTGCAAAATGAAGAACTAGTTTCTTCAAAAGACAACTATGCAATAGTGTTACTTGCCTCATTACTGTTCCCTAGTTTTACAATATGTAATTAGCAAGGTCAAAAGTCCACATTTTTCAGCATGAAACAAGTTCAACCTTCAACTGCCACTCAAACAACATGTTACTAGATTTGAGAGTCCCTTTCAGTGGGAAAAGATATACCACGGAGAGAGAGACACACTGAATCAATCCATTGGCCAGGACACTGAGACTGGTGAGAAGCAACAGGAAGGGAGAGGAAGAAGAAATGAGTGTATTTATACAGCAGGTACAACCTCACAATGGTTTCACAGGAGGAACACTTGTACACCCTTTTGCCATTTTTTGCAATTTTTTTAAAACAAAACATGCATTTAATTGCATATTTATGAGACAGGACATATTTTCTTTTAGCAGGAAAGTCAAAATGAAAGGGTATAAAAATGAATTAGTTTGTTCAAACTAACCAACAATAGCCATATTGCACCAAAACCTAACTGTGATACCTCTACTCCCAATTGGCTACCTTTCTTCTCCATGATGCGATGTGCATCCTGGAAGAACTGCTGAATGTCTCTGCTATAAAGTCTGGAGGCAGCTGTACAATATGCTTGCAAGAGATTAGAATATCCAGCTGGGTCCAAGTCCCTCATCCATCTCACGAGCGGGGTGAACGGTCTGAGGAGTCGATGGATGGCCGAATGACCTGCGAGGCTCAGCTCTTCCACGGGTTGTACAGTCACCCCTTCTCCTCCAGCTGCCACACTACTCTGTCATTATTAGGACATCCCACATCAAATGAGGACTCAAATGGCATAGAGGAAAGCAGACAGGAGAATGAATTAATCAACCAGGTGTGTGAACATGTTTTTGAGGTGCATCTGCAACTTCTGGGAGAATTTGACCTTGAGTCGTTCATGTTTCTTCTTCTGTTCCTGATAGGCACTCATCTTAGTCAAGCATGATGAGACATTGGGATTTAGGGCTCTCTGGAGGTCATCACTGGCTTTTATCAGGAGACTCACATTTGAGAAATCAGCAGCATTTAGAGCATTCACATATTCTTCTTTCAAATCTTGCTGGCTCTGCATGCAGAGAGTAAGAGAAATTTAGAGAGTTTCTCGCTTGGAAAATTTAGAGTGGAAGGAAAATATTTGACTAACCAAAAACGAAGATAACTCATCTAGCAGAGCTTTCTTGTTAGTGTTCTTTGTCTGTAGCATGCGATTCTTCTCCTCCAAATCGACCACCATTTCACGGACCCCAGATAATTTGTCCTCGTATGCTGTGAGCCTTTTTTCCACGATCTCAATCTCGTCCAAAGCATCTTGAAGCTGCGCCAAGACTTCGTGAACTTGCTTCTCGGATCCGACCAGAGTGTGTATGTTTGCCTGGGAAATAGAGGTGCCTCTCTCAATCCAAAATTGTCATGAATTTATTTAAGCCATCAGAAGAGCAAGGGCCTGCTGCTTTATGCTAGGAACTCACACCATCCAGCGATGAGATGTCAGTCGTGAGCTTTTCTATGAGTGTTTCGGCATCAAATGCTGCCCCTTTACATTGGAGCATCATTGCCTTCAATTGCTGCTCCTCTGCCTCTGACAAGTAATCATTCTGCGATCCACTCATTCTTTACCGATCCTCCTCTTGGGAGCCCCAGAAGAAAGGCGAAGAAAGCTCAGGTCCGGTCAGAACAGGAGCAATGATAAACGTGAGAGAATGAGCGCCGCCATGACTCAAAATGACGTTTCGCCACCCATTGGCGTTGCTGCACTCTCGTTTACAAGGCTAGGCCCACTTTGGGAACGAGGATTAGGCCTGCCACGCTGTACGTGTCTAGGCTCAAATAAGCCACCTGTATTTACGCCAAGCTTAGCCTAGATGGTAAACCTAAGACCTCCTAAACATAGACTTAGAGAGGCTGTGCTTTTCTCTTGGGATGATGAAACGAATGAAGGGTATGAATTGTCTATCCTGTCCACGTTGCCCTTAAGGACACTTCGCAATTGCCAAATGATTGGAAGCTGGACGTCAAACATTACGCTTAGAGCCCTAAGGCATATCATCAGCCAATTCATGTCTGATGATAGATCCTGTCCCTGAGTAGGAAGTCTACCCATAGCGCATATGTCATAGTTGGAAAAGCTTGTGTAGGCCCAACTAGGTTAGGATTTACCACCCTATTTAAATTTTAACATATTTGAAACTGGGTCCATGTGGAAAATCTTGCAACAATTGATCCAGACTGCAAATCCCTTACAGAACCATCAGGAACAAATAATTTTCTCACCTCCAACTGATAAGCCTACTGATTGGAAATTGTGCTAGATCTGAGTTGGATCCAGTGGGTATTCTCAGTGCTTCCCAGTTGGTTCCAGGGGAAAATTTGGTACTGGTAAGTCATTAGTTATGTTCACGAGCAGAGAGGGCTCGACAGCCAGCTGAAACTCTAATTGGCAAATATATTTCCTCTACTCTTATGATGATAAATGTTCTGCCAAGTTCTCAAGCTCTCTCCCCCCCATTTATTGACCTTGAGCCATCGGAGGCCACCCTTGGACTATGCAGAGATGCCTGATTCTCCCCATCCTCCAGAAGGCATGACTCATTGCCTAGATTTACATTTTCTTTATTTTTACTTGTTTTTCTTTTCCCTGTGCCTTCCTCTTGACCACCATTGATCCCATCAACACCTCATGAACTAGTAATAGTGATTTTGCTGTTCTCCTGCTTAGACTGCCAGGTGCATCACTATGATGATGAATCATGTGACTTGTATCTTGACAGCCCCAGTTTACACACCCTACCAATGCTCAACCTTGCCCCTCTTGATTTTATGGTGGAATCTTAGAGCAAGGACAATTTGTGTACCAATAGTCTTAGTAAACCTTGGACCATATCCTAGGCCTGCCCATGTTTACCATATGATTGATGATTAACTTGACTCTGTTTGCTGATGTAGGCAAGTGCACCCTGTTGGTTGAAGCTAAGATTAAGTCCTCTAGGGTTGCTGTGGCAAAACTTCATTTTTGACCATGGCTGATCCATTAAGCCTTCTGAGACAGTATAACCTCAACAAAAAAGAGATTGTTGAGAAAGAAGGGAATGCAATTTTTGGGGAATTTTCTTGGCCCAAGACTGTCAAGACCAACTATATCATCTGGGGGTATGTGCATGCAATGGGGTCAAGCCATCTATTCTCACATTGCTAGTACCAGGGCCTTTGTTCTATCATTTTCTCTCTCACTCAGGAGTGGAAAGGATGGAGCAACAAAAGAGTATTATACTCTGGAATGCCTGTTGTTTCTGTTGAAGAATGTCCACCTCTCTCACCCTGTATATGTGCGAAAAGCCACAGTGAGTCCAGGCCATCCTAATGTCATTTCCACATTTTCATACTTGTAGCTTTATTTTATTTCCCTTTATGCATAGGCAGAGAATGTTCCAGTGGTTCACTTGCCAGATCGGAAGGATCTTTTGTCATACCTCAGCCAGGAAGGAGCCACATCAAATAGCATTGATCGTAGTGCTCCCCTGGAAATGCCCACACAGGTGATCACTGCCAGGTTCTTCAGAGTTATTCTCCATAAAGCAAAAGTGGAACCCTTGAAGAATAACTTCTATTGATGCAGGTGAAGCGGGCGACAGAGGAGAGTCAGGAGACACAAGTGGCAAAGAAGCCACGTATTGATGGGACGGATGTTGAGAAGGCCAAGGCACAGCTGGCTCGTCGATTGGAACAACCAAAGGAGACTTCGCTCACTCTTGGCTCCTTCAAGTATGCTTAGGCCATCAACTTTCTCATTCCATGGAAAACAAGGTGATTATTTTTCAAATTTTTTTTCCCTCTCGTTCTCAGGTCCATTTCCATGACCATTTCGGCAGAGAAGATTGCAGCCATGAGGGCAAAGCGGTTGGCAAAGAAAAGAGGGTCTATTAAAGCAGGAGCAGATGAGAGCCTTGGAGGATCTTCTCCACTTCGAACGGTGCTAGAGATAGACTTGGATGTGACCAAAGACATTTGCTCTCGAGAGAGACAGTGGCGAACGCGGACATCCATCCTTCAGAGTTCTGGAAAGTCTTTCGCTAGAAATATCCTTGCACTCATGGAGAGTGTCAAAGCACGAGAAGAAGGTCGTATTGTTCCGAGTCGAATGGGACCTCCCACTTCTGGTGTGATAAATACGACCACACCTCGCAACATCCCTGCTCCCACCCCTCCTGTTGTCCAGGCCCAGCCCAACTACTCAAGATATCTTCAAGAGAAGTTTGGAAAAGAAGGCATGGCTATTTTCTGGATCCCTTGAATTCAATTTTTCTGTTGAATCTGAGATGCTAAGCCCATTGTTTATCTCAATTGGCAGCTGAGACAGCTGGTTTCAACATCGACACAATGGGAACGTATCACGGGATGAACCTGAAATCTGTGACAGAAGGTTCACAGCCAAAACGGCCTACAGTCCCACAGTCCCCTGCTCATTCACAGGTGCTCTTTTGCTGCATCCTTTCATTCTATCAATAAAGGAAGGATCATTCTGGTAGTGTGGTAACATTGGGCAACTTGGTCTCAGTCAACATGAGTTGAATTTATTGAAGTATCTGGTGGATGTTAGTATGATACTAATGCTAGCTTTGGAGTAGCTGTAACATTTGCAGTTTGCTGAAAGCCTTCAAAGCACCATTCCAAGAAAGATCCTGCCTGTCCTTAAGATGGAGCTGGCAGCACAATGTCCCTGAGCACAATTTGTACATGTATTGTCCTGTAATGATTTCTGTTTCACTCAGAACACATATTGCATGCAGAATTAAAAGGGGTGAAAAAAGCTTTCTAATAATGTGCAATTTGCCTCTCAGGCAACTATAAAAGTGCCATATTCAGAAGAATCAGATATAAATACCTATACCTGGAGCAGTGTTCTTATCCTAACTTACTCCTGAAGGGTGGAAATTATCTTTTAAAGCATATGGGGAAAACCAAAGTGCAAGTTATGGATTTGTATCATGCATATCCTGTCTTTCCTGCCCCTTATGAGTGTCTATAAGTATGTCACAAAGCTTTTGTATGTAAAATTAAAACTGAAAATTTCCTTTACCTTTTTCATGCAATGCCTTTTTTAGCCTGTGTTTTCTATATAGCTTTGAATTTTTATTCTTATTTTCTCTTCACTAAAATTGACCATATTTTTAGATTTTGTTTTTGTCAGTGGATAAGGAAAAATATATTTTATTCTTAGTTCTTATCCCTTGGTCCTGACAAGTTTCACATTTTGTCTTCATTTCACCACTTATGGAAATCTTGCCTTCAGCCTCAGGGATTTTTCCCTTGCTCTTCAGATAGTTTTAGTTTTGCCCCAGACCCCTGGAAACCTCAGGGTGGCCCTGAGGTAGGGAAATATTTCCTTTGCCTGAGAAGGTTCTGAGAGCGTGTTCTCCAGTTTTCCTGGTGGTCCTCCTCCTCCTTATTCTTTTTTCCTTTCTGACCTTGCCTAGATGATTCTCACCCTTATTCTGCCCATCATTCTTCCATTTTTTCAAATGTCTTTCTAAATGTGTTAACTGGGGGAGGTTAAAAGTTAGCTCCTATTCCTCCTCCTACATCCTCTGACCTTCTGCCTCTTTCCCCTCCTGAGCATTTCCCACCTCTCCGCTTATGTATTTCTCTTGCTTTTGTCATCTCCAAGATCAGTTACTTCAGGCTTGGCACCACTCCATTTATTTAAAAAAAGGTCCATCCTCTCCAGTTCAGTCAAATAGTTTATTAGAACTCAGGAGAAACCTAATTTATGCTTTCCCTGTCATTGGCTTAAAATTGGCATTTTTAACCCATGATGGAAGTTAGCTTTGTGGGAAGAACCATAGTGTGATCAGGCCTTTACATTCTGTCTTGATTGCAATGTTTTCCTGCAAGCTGTGTTTCCTATATGTCACTGTCTGATTCTCAAAAGTGTATGTGGCAGATTTTTTTTTTAGGCCAAAAGGACAATGCTTTATAATGGAAATAGTCTCCAAATATGGGGAATGGGCATCATAAGTATCATAAATGCCCATCATTATTGATAGACCTTTAAAATTGATGCCTGATATTTGAATCTCTTTTTTTTTCAAATCCCTACCTCCTATTACAGTGGATTAGATATATTTTTTGCTAATTTCAATGTTCCTGTTGAAATGCCTCAACAGCCAGTACCAGTGAAAAGCCCATCTGGGATGGGAGGAGGGAAGAGGCCATCACGCACTCCCATCATCATCATCCCTGGAACTACCACTTCGCTTATCACCATGTATAATGCCAAGGATATCCTTCAGGATCTGAGGTGACCATTCAATAATCAGAACCCCTGAAAACTAATTCTAACAATTAGGTAATAATGGAAAAAATGCAATAAGTGAATTTGTGCATAGATTTATGACAACAGAGGAGAAGAAGGCAAGTGGTGCAAAACAGGAGACAGAGTGTCTCATCCAACGGAGGAAAGAAGGTGTTGGGACGGTGCCGTACCGGGTCATAGACACTCCCCAGCGTTTAACGATGGAGGATTGGGATCGTGTTGTGGCAGTTTTTGTCATGGGTCCTGCCTGGCAGTTCAAGGGATGGCCATGGGATGGAAACCCTGTTGAAATATTCTCACGCAGTGTGTTTTCAACTTGTTTTGGTTTACCACTTTTTTTTTGCCCTAGTCCAACTCTCATTTGATGTCATTCATCCCAAATGCAGTAAAGGCATTCCATCTCAAGTATGAGGAGATGAAGTTGGATACTAATGTCTCCAAGTGGGCTGTGCATGTGATCGAGCTGTCGAGAACAAAGCGACATCTGGACCGTGCTCGTCTCATGACCATCTGGGAGCAGCTAGACAAGTATGTTTCTCTCCTTTCTTTGATTGTGTTTATGCAACCAATAGTGATGATTCTCAGTGCTTCAGACCCATTGGTTAAAGCCCTTTCCCCTTTTAACTCTTTCATGGGTGAGTTTTTCCAAGCCAGTGTACTCACCTAGAGTGAGTTTTGCACTCATGCATTTGTGTGCCATTTTTGCACATTAATCTGTTGAATTATTCTAGGAAATATATCAGACATTAATTTAAATACATTTAAAACCTTGACAGTCCATACTTTGGCAGGTCCACCTAAAGCGAAACTGATATTTCAGTGCATACCTATGAAAGGGTTAATAACACTTTTATGGATCCTATGGGTATACCTGCACTCCTTAAGCATGTGAAAAGCCTGCATTTAAGGTGAATCTTGAAAGTTTCAGGACCTCAGATTCTTGCATGCAGAACTTCATCAGTTGATATGAGAACAGAATTGTGGAGAAACATTGTGCAGAGCATCCACTCTTATCTGCACAAGTAGATAAGAGTGGATGATGATAAAGACCTGCTTGCAATTCTCAGTTTTTGGTAGTGTCTGTCTTGACATAAGCTGTATTGCCTTCCAAAGATATTCAAAATTTGGAAGGGCAGTTACCTATATTCTATGGAGCTTTCTCCACTTGCTAGTAATAAGTGATTTTTACTACCTGTTCTTGAAATCTAAAATCCTGGGATTTGTAAGGAACCTCAAGATGAGATTTGTATTTCTTGAGACAAAACCATGGACTTGGAAAATCCTCACAATGCAATCTTTGAGAATTTCACAATGAAGCATTTCTGTATGACCAGTTCATACATACACTTTTCTCCTTGCTGTTTGAGGCATGATGGGTCCTCTCTCATGAGGATGATGGAAGAGAAGATGATGCCTTTGCCTCGTTGTGTACATAACACCTCACCTATTGTTGAATGTTGCAGACACATGATGAAGTTCAAACCTCACCTGCGGTTCTAGAGTCAAAGGAGGGGTGTAGAGACCTATATTGTTTCACCGTGGAGAATCCATATGTTCATCGATTGAGTTTTTTCAACTGCTGTTGCATTTTGTGTCTCTATTTCCCCCATTTGTTGTCTTTTTTCTGCACCATATATGCAACTCTCCTGTTTTGAGAGATAAATGTCTACTACCCCTCTGATCCCAGTGTTTTATTGTCAGCTAGAAACTCTGAGCTGAAATATGAGCTAGATGAGCATAGCTAGAATTACCGCATGTAAAAGTCCCTCTTCCAATGCAAGAACGGCTTCGTTTTTTAAATCTTTCAAGCACTTTAAAAAGTGCTGTATAGGCACATGTTTTATTTTTCACATTTTAAATATTAAAATTAGCTACCTACCGGGATAGGAGATAGTACGATTTTTGAGCTGGCGTGCGGAAGAGGTACTATTTTTGTACCACTATGCTTCAACACCGCTTATAATTGTGATTTACAATTTGTACCACAGTGCTTGTAATGAAGAAATTTACGTCGGAAAACTGTCCCATCGTTCTGGATGTCTGTGAAATATTGAAAAGGAACAGCAGCATCATTCGGAATGGTTTCCTCGTCGGATCTCAGTCCTTCCACGACGACCTGAGCTTGCTGATGTTTCGATAAGTTTTCACTCGTAGGTGATAGGCCTACACGATTCATCACCGATATGCGTTTTGGTCAACCTGACATACTAGAATGTGCAGGCAACAACGTCCTATAATAGTAGAGGTAAATAGTTTAAAGTTCTGACTGCTGCAATTGCTTCTATGAAGTGTTCGGGAGCGAGACTCGCATGTTGTGTGGCTCCACTGGGAAATGAAACTGTTCAATCGGAAGATGAGTTTCCCGAATCGGGATTAGAACAAAAGCGAGACCGCGAACGAAAGTGGGTGGGGATTTATATCCGTTCCCGAGCTAATGGTAGCATCTCGTTACTGGCTTGCGAGCAAAATTCCGGAAACTCCCTGTAGTCGCTGCAGTCCTGGGAGGGGAGAGAGTAATTTCATATAACTATGGTCCAAAGTTAACTTGGTTGTGCAGCTCCCCGCCCTCTCGGCTCTACAGGCAGAAACGGCCGCCAGGTCTATTCTCCATTCTGCAAGAGCGATTCCTCTTTACCCACAGGCGTGGTGTTATACCATGAGACGACACACTCGTCATATTCCATAGGTTTCCTTTCTCATCCTTTCTCTTTTTCTATACCAAAGCCTACTCTGCTTCGATTTCCCAGGATATTTGCTGCTTCGAATATGGAATCACTACCGTATTTATGGCACTCAAAGGGAACCCACATCGAAAGGTGTGGTGTGGCGGGTACATATGTCTGATTCGTGGAGTTGGACGAGGAGACGCATTGCACACGAATGCATAGAGAGCTAAAAGCAGATGACACCCTGCGGTTGGATGGAGAAACAACGATCGCTCTTCGGGGGAAAGGGAAGGAGGAAACATCTTCTGTCCACACTAATGAATACCTGCTTACGATTCGTGGTCATCATACTAAATGGTTTTTTTTTTTTAAAGCTAAGTCGTTAGAGTTTAGATGAAATTAGAGCAGAACGGTATGACATCGTGGATTCAGATGTGAAACTAAATGAATCGTACGGAAAAGGATGGCCTGGCAGCTCGCTGATAAAATTAACACTCTCTGTTTGCCTAGAGATTGGTTTACCCTGCAATTTCGAAAGCAAGCCCCTCAATGAAGAGAGTCTCAAAGACATCAATAGGTTCTTTTCTGTCACCAAAATCAATCAGGATTCCGTTCTGAACAGAAGATTTAAAGGGCTGGCCTTCCTCGGCCATGGGGACCCAGTTCCGGGAAGTACATCACAATCACCACCTTCGTGAATCTCCATGTCTTCGCTTCCGTCATCGCTGCTTTCATCATCTGATGTTTCTTCGTATTCTTCTTTAATAGAATCTTTACTATTTCTTCTTTAAACAAACTCGCTAAGGTACCCCGGGTGGTCCGCATTTTGAAACGCCACCTATCCCCAGACCAAATGAGGAAGCCATGCAAAGTTTGGTCGGGCTGGGATCGGAGACATGGCCGTGCATAAAGAACAGACACACACAAACACTCTGAAATATAAGTGGTATAAAGATATTGTCTCTGTAATGCTCGCCCTCGAGTACTCCTCCCACGTGATGAAATTGCTGTTAAGCAGCTGACAAGTCAGGTAAAAAATACATCCTGATATTTGACAGCTGCATAGAAAGGCTGAAGAAGAGTAGCCACATCCTGTCGGAAGAGCGCGGGACGCTCCCAAGCAAAGAATTCCCAGAAGTTCGGAACTTACTTGAGGAAACGTCTTAAGACGTCCATCCCACCCGTATGCAGTATTTGCGAGCGTCAAAAGACGTCTTCCTCTGTTAAGGGGTTAAAATTGCGGGTGAGAAGCTAACGTTGGAACGCTATATTTCTTCAGCAACACGAACGCAATGAATGAACTTGAGCATATGAGGTGAAGTATGGGAATAGCCAAAGTGAGCAAAATTAGTAAAGTACGGAGACTCGACATAAATAGACGCTTAAATTTGAAAGAAAACCTGTTCACCCTGGAATCACACAAAGCAATGGCGAAATATAAGTAGCGCAAATGCTTCTTTCCTCTGACCTGTAACTGAAATGGTCTATGCCGATTGCTCTTCGGCCGGTTATTCAGGACCGAGAAACTCTTCGGGAGTCTCTCCAGGGGAGCATGATGCAGAGGTGTCGGAGTCAACGGGCCTCAGATCTCTCGATCCAAGCTTTTAGATGGCGCTTAGCATCCTCTCACTTGGCGTAACACCGGATATCAGCCCAAGAACCTCATTGAGGCAGCTCGTATCCGCATTCCGCGACCTCATTCTTTCGATCGTTACCCACAGCTCGTGGTCATAGGTGAGAGTGGAGAAGTAAACGCTCCTGAAGACCAAATGTTTTGCCTCCTTGCAACATTCAGGTTTGCCAGCACAGTCTGTTAGAGTTCCCGCAAACCTGCGGAAACCCCAGAGATGCGACTGTCGACCTCGTTTCCGCATCCTCCATCACTCGAGAACCAGGTCCCCAGGTACTTAAACATCTCCATCTGTTCTGCCGGGGCCCTTCTGACACGTCGGGTGCATCGCACAGGACTTCTCGAGAGGACCATTACCTGCGTTTCGGGGACGTCGAGTTTCATTCCGGCCGCTGTACATTTCGAGTCGAACCGGTCTAGCACGCTCCGAGGCTTCTGTCGAGGCAAGGGCAAAAGGACGGCATCATCGGGGAGGGGAGGTTCTTGGTCTCGATGACACCGACGTTTAACCCCTCAGGGCTATAGACTCTGTTCACGTACCCGAGGAACAGAAAAGGAGAGAGAACGCAACCCTGGTTGAGCCCAACACCCACTCGGAAGGAGCACGTCGTCCATCCCGCTCACTCCTATGCAACTCCTTCAATCACTGTATGTGGACTGAATAGGTCGCTGTAGCCGACCGTTAATCCCATGCTCCTGCAGCACTTTCCCACGGCTTCATCCGAAGCACACGGTTATGTGCCTTTTCGAAATCCGCAAAACTCGTGCAAACCTCTTCGGCAAGCTTCCAGAGTCTCGAGAGTCTTGCGTTTCGTGACGAGCTGGAGAGTAGTGCACCGCCTTTCGCGAAATTCCCACTATTCGTGGTTTCTCAGATCGCTCCAGCTCTCTTTTCTAGCAACTCGGCAAAGACCTTACCAGGTGTGCTGGTGAGAGTGATTCCACGGCAATTGGTGGAATCCCTCGAATCCCCCCTCCTAAGATGAGGAATCGACATCGATCTGCCGAGTCAATTGATGCCGTCCCCGATTCCCATGCGGCTCGACGCACTCGATGCAAGAACGAGCATCCATCGGTGCCCAATGCTTTCGTTGTCTGCACGGATTTCATCCACGCCGAGCGGCTTTCCATTTGTGAAGCTTGTGGAAGTTCCTCAAAGGTTCGATTCTCCGCGTAGGTAGGCTCCGAATGAGGTGCATCAGCCGCTGGACTAGGATTGTAAGAAATACACTAGCATTTGAATGTGAGTTGCTGATTAAAAACAAATTCATAGCTCTGGGGCAAAGCCGAGTTCAAATAAGCAGCATTGGAGAGAGCACGGAAAGAATAGCCACTGGTTTGTTTTTATTTTAAATGACAATTGAAGCAAGCAGACCGGAGAAATAACCATCCTCTTTTCGTTATTTTGCTATTTTTGAAGAACATTTCTTTCTGTCTCCCTCAGAAAACCTGCCAAAACCTGTCTGCCTTTCCATGAAGGGGCTAGAAACTTAGTGCCAGTTATATGAGAACAAATTACGGTATCTCCATGCGGACATTCACAGAGACCGTTAAAAAATTGTTACTCTTTGCCAAGATTTGACCTTTTTCGGAGTGCTTATTGCTGATATCGTTGCTTTTCGGACATAACGCGTCTTGGTATCCTTGAATTGTCCCGTAAATCATAAAGTGGTACATAAACTTTCCAGATAGGAGAACTTGAAGAAAACTAACTTTGGCAAAGTAAATCCTGCCCCAAAATTCTTCTGCGTTCGAACCCACCCGACACGGGAGCGTCGATTAGACATGGATCTCGGATCGAATACGTCGTTTCTTGAGGTAGGTAGATCGGTCTCCGTTAAGTGAATGTTTCTTCGGACTTGATCGTTGGACGTGATGCCTCAGCTCCCCGTCAGCCTCTCTCGTCCCCCTCACCCAAACAGGCACATAGAAGAATCTTAATGTCCCAAACACGAGCATCCGAGCGCAGCCACCTCGTGGTAATACCTCATGCGTTCCTTTCATATCTAATTGAATAATGAAAAAGTCAAAGCTATTTCGGGAAATTCTGGGACGTTTTCCTTTTTTTTTTCTCCTTTGCTGTCCCAATGCTTGTATTCTTCTATTCGATTTAAGATCTGTTACGCATACACCCAGGGCCGCCCAGAGGGGGGGAGGGGCAAAGGAGGCAATCTGCCCCGGGCCCCACGTATCAAGGGGTCCCAAGGCGCCTCCAAATGGGGGCCCCCAAAGGGTCTCCGGGTTAGTTTTGCCCCGGGCCCCTGGAAACCTCTGGGCGGCCCTGCACGCACCTTGCTTCGTCGTTATCATCCGATTTACAATACATTTCTCCTAGACTGAACCATGGGGATGTTATTCTCAACCTCATGAAAGTCCTATAGGATTCCTAAAGGAACTAGTAGGAACCTATCGGAGCGATAGGATCCCTATGGAGAGTGTATGGGATCCCACTTGACTCATATGATCCCATAGTAAATCCATAGCTTTTCTACAGGGTCCCTACCGGACAGGTTTCTCAGGCAAGGACGGTCCTGTAGAAAGCCTTCCGGGCAACCGACGAGTTTCCTTGGCCCATGATCGGAAAGAGCGATGAAGGAGCACTTTGCTCATATCTCCTAGACTTAGCACAGTATGTTTTACCCCTACGGCAAATAGATCTTGCCAAGAAAGCAGGTACGAGCCCGCCGCCACCCGGACTCAGTAGGGGAACGAGAGGTCATATGAACACATTGAGAACTGGGTGAAACCTAAACCTTAGCTACTCGACTTATTTGCCAAAGATATCCTTCATCTTATAAAAAAAAGCTTCACTCCGTAACGAATGACTGAAAGCTAGAAGCGAAG